AGGAACTCTCCAGCTCTTCCCAGGCTCGAGTGCGCGCCTTGGAGGATGAGGTCACTGCGCAGAAGGCCGAGTTGGTGGCAGCGGCAGAGAAGCGTCTTTGTGATGAGGTGCTTCTCGGCGGCCAAGCAGAGGAGAATGCTGCTTTGAAGGTGGACCTCGCAAAGCTGGAGGAGACGAAGGCAGGGCTGGAGAGGAAGCTCGAGGAAACTGAGCGGGCTGCCATGTTTGAGCACAAGAAGGGATTCCTCAAGGCAGCTCGCCAGGCGAGGCTTCTTGCACCGGGGTTCGACTTCTCCGCCATGCATGTGGAGAAGGAGGTTCACTTTGGAAAGCTGGTGAGGGAGGACGACCTCGAGGACAACTCAAGTGAAAACGCCTCTGCCTAGGCCGCTTTTTTAATGGCTTAGTTTATTTTTTTCTGCTTGATTTTTCTCTTTGAATTCATGTGTTGAACTCTGTAAACATTGTTGTGTATATATTTTTTGGTTGTTTGTCATTGCGCTTTAGGCTTGATTTTTCTTGTTTGCGCGATTTGGAAAACACGTTCAGCATTCGCTGTGTATTTTTGTACTTTGTGGCGCCTAGACCCGATTTAGAGCAAAGTGATTTGTTCCAAGGTTCAAATTTGACCTTGGACAAAATTAAGATGTTTCGCAGTGAGGTTCAAACTTGACCTCGAATGGATCATACTAAGGTTCGAGCTCGACCTTGAGTTGATTATACCAAGGTTCGAACTCGATCTCGAGTTGATTATACTAAGGTTCGAACTCGACCTTGAGTGGATCATGCCAAGGTTGCCTGGAGAGGCAATACTTAATCATCAGTGTGATGTTAACACATTGGTGTCTAGCTTCCGGCTCGGGCGTCGAGTGAGGCTAGGTCTGGAGAGACGGTACTCAACCATCAGCGTCATCAGAGGTGCGTATTGGTTTGGTGGCGGATTCCCCTACCCTCATCCATGCTCGATTAGGTCATCCTAGTCTTGCTAAGCTTCAACATCTTGTACCACGTCTGTCTAAGTTGTCTCATTTGTCGTGTGAGTCGTGTCAGTTAGGCAAACATAGTCGTAGTTCCTTTTCTCCGAGTGTCCACAACCGAGCATTGTCTCCTTTTGCTTTAGCTCATTCTGATATTTGGGGGCCAAGTCGGGTCCTGTGGTGCATTAAAATGGACACTTCATATATTTGAGTAAAATGGGGGAAAATGTTTTACCTGATACATGATGCTTTACTAATTTATTGGGTTCTGTGCACAAGAAATCCTATGAATGTGCTAGTTTTTTGGTAGTACTGATACCAATAGGAACACGAATATGATATAATACAGCTAGAAGAATACAACTAAATAAAAGAAGTACATGGCCAGCATTGATATAACAGAACTATTCATATCATATTATGTCATTGCTTCCTAAATCTTTAGCAAATAAAATAAATTTGTAAATACCACTCATCCCAAACATAGTCGCAAATCACAATTATCACTTGTAAAATTAAAAAAAGAAAAATCAATTAAAACAAAGACATTTGTTTACATCACTCCACACACTAACCGATTACATCACCATTAACAACCCATCATTTAATATCTACCTCTTATCGACACAAGGTCACCAGAGCGAGGAACTGTAACATCCATTTCCAGTGGTTGCTGCACCACACAAAATGAACATCAAAACATATAAAGAAAAACCTTGGTGAATAACCAAAACAAACAAGAAAATAAACAAAAAATGAAACAATAATAAAAAGAAATGAAACAAGAAATTGCAAAGCAAAATCTAAATTGTAGAGACAAGACAGAAGGAAAAGTAGAATGATGACATTTATCGG